ACTCATTTTTTTAAGCATTAAGCGAGATTTTCACAAAAACAGATGTTACAACAATGTTACAAAAGATACAACATACACTAGGCTACTGTATCTCTTTGTAAGCTTCTACGAGAAACCCATAAGCCGCCAATTAAAACCTATCTCCCTCTTCTCTCTTACCGTAAAAGCAAGATCAGTTCTTAATATCATACCCGTCAATAGTTACAACGTGAGGAATAGTAGTAACAACTAACAGTGGAAGAGAAAGCAGAAATGCATCACCAAAACCATAAATTGCGGCTATCCACGGCTTTCATGGAAGTGTATACAAGCGGCATTCTACCGAATTCTGCTACAAACCGATTTACGCAGTGTGTTCTTTTCTCTGTGTGCCCTCCTATGCTACTGATTCCTGTTGAACCGATTTCATATATCTTGCCTACAAAAACAAGCCAAAAGAGGATGATATACTCTTCATCACCAAGAGGTATTGAGAATCATATGACCATAGATGGGGTTCTAAGAGTTGCCCACGGTTGACAAATACCTTTAACCCATATAGGAGGAGCGTTTGTAGCATTTGCGATGAGGAATGACATTGCGATATCTTCACAATTCCTGTTATCAAATGAATCTCTTTAGGTGGTGCCTTTTAATAAAAAAAAAACAAGAGATACAAGAATGACATTGATAAGGAACCTATTCTTGGTTGTGAATTCCCTGATTGATGCCGGCATGTCGTTTGTGTAAAGGCTAAGGTACTTTTTGTGGAAGAAGGCTGCTTTTGAGAGTACCATGCTATATGTACCACTCCACCAAACAGACCACCATCCGCTGTAGGTGTAGTAATTGCCTTTATCGTTCTGCAGAAAATAGAAGCCGACTAAGTTTTTTACGTAATGAAAGAAAGATGAAATAACCAAATTCCAAACAGCATGTAGCGAATTCTTTCAATATTCATACTAGCTGTTAGATCAAATGAATGGAGAGAGAGTGATATGATTAACTACTGTAACTAACTCCTTGAGACCTATTCAGATCAGTGAAAGAGTCCTAATACTAAACAACTTAAAAGGGAATGCATTTTTACTATTTTGGTAGTGTTGTTTGAAGATATTTAAAAATAAAAAAGTGACATACCGATTTTTCAGGCCAATGCACACGGGGCACGAACCCAACCATTGTGTCTGGAGCACTCTCCCAAACGTTGAATGCAAAATCTACCGTGTGACAAGGAAATATGATATCATCATCTATCGAGAAGACAGCGTCTGTCTTCAAGTCTTTGATTTCTTTAAATCTGTTGTTCAAACTGTCTTCTTTGTTTATATCAAATCTTAGCTCAACTTCATGCCCATCTCGCGATTTTTTCTTTATAACCTTTTGAAGATACTTTTTAAGAGAATCCGATGGAGGTTTAGGTTCACTCCATACAATGTGGATAGAGTCAAGCCTTGAACATGATGCATAGTGAGAAACAGACTTCTTTAAAAGATCGTATCTCTTCCATGTGTTCATCAAAAGTGTATAACCTTTCCTGCATATTCGATAAGAAACCCATCAAATTAGACGATAAAGAACAATACTAAGCAGTCTAACCAAAAGCAAAAGGCCAACTACCTAATTAGAATTACATTTAGTACATAGGTCCTAACAAAAATGCAATTGCTAATGGATCTACAAGAGTGTCTACTAATCACAGAATCTCTGTAGGTTCTTTGCATTAATATATCCATAAATAGATTGAAGAACAACGCAAAATCTTATATAATCAAAATCTAATTAGAATACAACCAAATAATACACACGAACGAATCTAAAATTGGTCAAAACAAGTCACAAATTTAGTAACCTTTAATTTCCGTTCCTAGTCTTCAACAACAACAGTTACTATTTCGAGATCCAAATCAGAGTTGGACCCATTTTGTACATATACGCACCTTGATCCGGAGATCCGATCTGCGACGGCGGTTGAACTATTAACCCAACCAATCGCCGAAGGACGAGAAGATCGGCAAGCGACTGTGATCAAAGCGAGAACGAAACAGCAAAATAGAAGAAACTTAGTGCTTCTCGCCGTCACGAACTTGCGTAGTTTCTGATCTCCGCGACGATACGCTATTGAACAACTTCCCATCTCTTTAGAAACTTCTCCTCCTCCCATACAAACAACGAAATTCAAGCTCCGAAAAGTAGATGACGCGGAGGAAGAAGACGACGACGACTCAGGGTCAACCTTGTTAAGAGCGAGTCGACTCAGTCTTCGCTCTCATGCGGATTTTTGTTCTTTCTCTTTTTCCGTTTTGGATTAATCGCAGAAATCAAAGACGAGAGATTGTTTTATGGTGCGGTATGGTACACAGTAAGAGAAAACGAAATAGACACGTGTAGTGATCGTGACAGTTTAAATTAGGTTGTCAACCACGATCTCGACGTTTTCCCGACTTCATGTTGACGTGGCAAACTGTCTTGGCGCAGTAATCAGTGGGTCCCAATTTGTTTTGTTGTCAGTAAAAGATAATTCTGATTACTGATTAGTAGTCTGGAAAAAGATTATCATGTGTTTGCGTCTTGTGCGTAATGTTAGCTTTTTATTGAATTACTTACTAATTAAGTCAATAATTCTCATTTTATGGGTTTCAACGCACAAAAAAATAGCTTAAGATGCCAAAAATTCGTAATTAGTGGATACTATGCTCTTACTGTTTTATTAGCTCTTTGAGCTTTGTTACAAGATTAGAAAGTTTCTGTGTATTTTTGTCAATTTGATACCTTTCTCAGATATACAAAGTTGGTTTTACATATCAAATGATTTAAAAGTAGCTTTTTTTTGTATCTATTTTACAACAAAATCACAAATGATTAATG